CTGATAGAATGTGGTAGAAATAGGAAGCCTAGGCTTCAGGACGACTTGCATGCATCTGCACTGCTCCTTGAACTCCTAACTTTGCTAGGAAAACAAACCATAGTTGGCCTGTTGAAGAATGGGAGACCACATGAGGAACAGGGACAGAGCCTCAGTAATAGCAGCAAAAGCCATGGGCTGAGCTGCTCAGTGGGCCCGCCAATGAGCACCATCCCTTGAGCAGCTAAGATCAGAATGGTCAGCTAAGCTTAGCCAAAAATGTCAACATGAAGAATTGTGAGCTACATAAATACTTATTATTTTAACAGCATTAGCTGTTAACAGAATTGTTAGCCTCCACTATATTCTTGGAATCTGTTGCCTAATTTGACTTGTCATTTCTGCTAGGTCAGCCTGGGGAAAAATGGCCTCTTCCTTATTGTTCTAAGATCCTCAGTGTACATGTGACCTCTTCCCTAGAAGCCCCTGCCCAACATTGGTAACCCAGGTAACTGGCACACTTGGCGCGGGGCGGGGGTGGGGTGGGGGGGGTGGGGGAGGGGCAATGAGAGGTCCCCCAGGCTCTGAGGTCTTTGCTGGGGTCACACCTCCTCCCCACCCTCTCCCTATATATTAGTGTCCATCATTAGTTCTGCCCCTTGTTCCACTCCTGGCCCCCTTGCAGCCTTTCCCGTGCCCCTTGCCCCTTTTCCCCTTCCCTTCTTGTCCCCTTCCCCTACATCCCTTGCACACCCCCCCTCAGGGCCTTTAACTTGGTAGGTAGGCGTTTAATTGAGCCAAACCTCTATGTTGTTGTTGTTGTTATTTGTTTGTTTTGTTTTTGAAACAGGATCTGACTAGGGAGCACAGACAGAGCTCAAACTCAGGATCTTTCTACCTCAGCCATCTGAGTACTGGGCTTATAATGTGTGTCACTGCATGTATTTCTGATTGGCCTTTAATGATGAAAAATGTAGCACACCAAATGCTACAATTAGGAAATGGAGATGGACTGTTTGTTGTTAGATTTGAAAAAAGCAGGAAACATCTTTGATGTGAAGATTAATGTATTTGATCGGAAGACCATGAGTACATCACATGTATATACATGAAGATTCTCTAATGCAAAGTGGTGAGGGACACTTGCCCATCCCCATATGGTGCTGGCTGTTTTCCTGTCACACCGATAGATATGATTCTATTTGACCTTCCCAATTCTCCTGGGGTAGTGTTATGTCAGCCATTTTGCTTATAAACACATATACTGAAGTTTGGGGAAGTCTTAAGATTCCTAGATGAATTTTATTTTTGCCATAGCAACTTCATTATATTCTTTAGCTTATGTTTGTTGGTGGTAGTTTATTGTCATTTACTGTACCAGTTTTTTTTTGTCTGTCCTGCGTTTTGAACTCTGAGCCAGGGCTCTGCCCCTGAGCTTTTTTGCTCAAGGCTAGTGCTCTACAACTTGAGCCAAAGCCTCACTTGTGGCCTTTTCTGAATAGTTTATTGGGCATAAAAGTCTCACAGACTTTCCTGCCCAGGCTGGCTTTTGAACCTGGATCCTCGGATCTCAGCCTCCGGAGTAGCTAAGATTACAGGACAGGTATGAACCACCAGCGCCCAGGCTTTGAGAATGACAGTATATGAAGGGCAAAGGCTGGATTCCAGGAATGAAGTTCAGGAAACTTAAGCCTGTGGCTCCTTACTCACCATTGAGAAAAGCCAGTATTAAATGAAGAGAGTCAGTATTAACAGAGACATTTCATCAGAGGATGCATTTACAGATACTGGGAAGCAAGGTGGGAGACAGCATATTTCTCTATGGCAGAGTCTTGGTGGAGTCTCGGTATCAGGAACAAATCTTAGGAAGATATTGTTTTAGGTAGGATGCTATAGTAGATCCTAAATAAATAATAGGTAGGTTCTCCAACATTTTCTAAGAAGCCTGGCATTTCTGACTTTGCAGAATCCTGTAGAGTTAAAATGTTTCTAGTGTTTCCTGGCTGGCTGGCTTGAGAGTCTTGGAATATGTTTTTGAGGTCTGTATGTAACTTTGAAGTGACCTACATCTGGTTTGAATCATGCCTTCATCGCTTATTAGCTGAGAGACCTTGTTCAAACAAACTATCAATGTTTCATCTGCAAAGGGGAACTAATAATGCCAATTTCATCCTTTGTACAGAGTTCTTAAGAGGGTTTAAGGAGTCAACGTGAATGAAGATCACAGAATAAAAATTGTGTTATCTTTTTCTTAATACCTGGGAAATAATCAATTTGCTAATGAATTGTGACACAGAAATCAGAGGACTCTGGTACTGGGATCTCGGATGACCCTTCAAGAAATCGTCTTTTGTAGAATGATCCTCTTGTCAGTGTTATGCATGGGAAAGGTAGGTTGAGCCTTCGTGGTGTCTTGTCCTAATCATTGCATTCCTAATGTGTTTCCTGGGTTGGCCAATTACCCAAAGGTGATTCATCCCTAAGGAAGCCATCCTTCCCTACACAAGAGGAGCTGACTGCGTAAGAGATGAGCCTGGTCAAATGCAATCGTCAAAGGAAATATGCTTCACAACAAATTCTGACAGGCCTTAAAACAAATGCCTGTATCTTACATTTCATGTATTTAGCGTACAGTTTGAATTACTTAAGCAATGTGAGAACATATTTACTTATCTGGCTGAGAACAGATGGAGTTTGGAAGAGAATTTTCTAGCATGGCCCATATACTGATCCCTAGTTAGTGTTGACATATGTGGCACATCATCACTTTCTCTGTCTTCTAGCATCCTATCATCTACTACCATGATGTTATAAAATCCATGTGTTGTTGTTGTTTAGGATAACTTCCTAGAATGTCTGAGAATCTATAGAACATCTTCTGAGGTGTGGGAAGAGGTTCAAGAACCGGTAAAAAAAAAAACAACAAAACTTTTATTGGAAAGGACAAATTGTCATTGCTGTTCTTGCTTCTTCATTGCTTTCACCAAACCTCCAGATAAAATGATCTGACCAGCTACTCAGGGCAACCAAGATAACCTTAGCCACATTGTAACTATGTGATATGGAGAGAGATAATGAAGATAGCAGAGGTGATGGATGGAGTTGATGGTGGTAAAGGTGATGGAGGGGATGGTTATGGAGTCAGGATGTTGGTAAGGATGGTGGTGGTGATGATGACAGTGGTGATAATGGTGATTGTAAGGGTGGTGGTAATAAAGACTACGCATATACCAGTTAACATAGTGGACAAGTAGTAGAGGTTATGGACAAGTGAGTATGGTTGTAATTGAGGTACTAAAGGAGGCGATGAGGGCAGAGATATTGCTAGTGGCAGACGCCAAATGGTGAACATATGACACAAAGAGCATTGAAAACATCTCCCCACACAAATCTTCTCCATGACTGTTGGTGGTACCATTAGTCACAATAGAAACAATCCAGGTGTCAAAAAACTCCAGATTAATGGATAAACACATGTGGTAAATCCATACAAGGGAGAATAATTAGGCCTTACAAAGGAATAAAGTAGTGATGGTGTACAACATGGATGGACCTTGGAAACATTATGGTAAGTAAAGAAGCCAGTCACAAAAGACCCCTGTAGGATTTATTATATGAAATGTTCAGAAACAGGCGAACTTGGAGAGACAACTATCAAAGTACTAAATTAGTAGTTAGTTGCCTACAGTTGAAGGAACTGCTAATCAGGATTTATTTTCTTTTCTGTTCTTTTTTCTTTTCTAGATCCTGGGGCTTGAATTTAGGGCCTAGACGCTATCCCTGAGCCTCTTTGTGTTCAAGGCTAGCACTCTATCACTTAAGCCACAGTGCCACTTCCAGTATTTTTGAGTAGTTTATTGGAGATAAGAGTCTCATGGAGACTTTTCTGCCTGGGATGCCTTCAAACCATGATCCTCAGATCTCAGCCTCCTTCAAACCATAATCCTCAGATCTCAGCCTTTTTTTTTTTCTTTTTGGTCGGTTGTGCGGTTTGCACCCTGGGCTTGGGCGCTATCCCTGCGCTCTTCAGCTCAAGGCGAGCATGCTACCATTTGAGCTACAGCTCCACTTCTGGTTTCCTAACATCTTATTGGAGATAAGAGTCTCACAGACTTTCCAGCCCGGATTGGCTTAGAACCGTGATCCTCAGATCTCAGCCTCCTGAGTAACTAGGATTACAGGCCTGAGCCACCTGCTCCTGGCTCAGCTTCTTGAATAGCTAGGATTCACAAGCCACAGGCTCCCAGCTTGGGGTTTCTATTTAGGGCGATAAAATTGTTCTAAAATTAGAACGCACAAACTTTGAAGGTACTAAAAATGAACTCATATTTAAAAGGGCAGACACATATTTTCTTTCACAGTGCTAAAGGTAGAACTTAGGACCATGAGCTAGTGTTTTACACTGAGCTACAACTGCAGGCTAAAGGGCTGAACTTCTTTATAGAAAAGTTTCAAAAAATGGGGGCAGGGTCATTGGTGGTGGTGGTGGTGGTGATGGTAATAAAGGACTAACTTAGGTTTGGTAGCTGGTGGGACACTCCAAGGAAATAGAGGATAAGAACTGATTGACCCTGTCATACCCGAGTTTACACAAGGCCAAGTCTGAGAACAACAGGTAATCCATAGTCCTGGATTATCTATATATGCTGAGAACTAAATTCCACCACAGAGCTAACACTGAATTCATACACAAGTATTTCTACAACTAACTGTAAAAGTCAATCCAACCTGTCAGCTGTCACTGGAATTTTGTTCGAAAGGATTAACTGTTTTTTGTTTTTTTTTGTGGTTGTTTTGTTTTTGTTTTTCCAACCAGTGGATGGAAAAACACACAGCTAGTTTCTGAGGAGCAATGGCACATGGTAACCAGACTTCATCTCCTGGTGTAGTAGAAAATCAGACCAGTTCATGGAAAAAAAAAAGTGACAGCAGAACACTGGAGTCTATAATTTTTAATAATTTTAAACTAGCTACAAAATGTCAATCACTTCACAAACTGACAGAGGAGACAAGAGGAAGTTAGTATTACATGCTGTAATGATATTTATCTCACAGTTTATCTATATTTCATTCATTTATATTATTTTCTAAAGATTTTTTAATCAGTTACTAAACATCTCAGCAATTTGGTGTGCATAGCTCTAGGTTAAGCAACAAAGATCTGTACTGATAAGAAAGCCAGGGGGGGTGAGGAGAATGGTGATCAGCCAGAGTTTGCCTTACAAAATTTACATATCCACACTGTTTCACAGAAAGACTGCTATCTCCAAAACATCGCCTTCCAAAGCAACAAAGGGACCCTATATTACACCCATTTCACAGAGTTTCAGCCAAACATATATTTTGCTAGAAATGACTCAATGGTGAGTGTGTTAAATCCATCTTTAAAAAAAAAACTTTTTAAAAAAAAAAGATGATCATGGTTGATAAGTCTATATGTTGACAGAAAGAAAGTGACACTACTGCAGGTTTTGCTGGTAAACTTAATCTTGACAGTGTCTCAATACTGAGCATGCGTTTTGTTTTGTTGTTTCTGGTGTGTGTGTGTGTGTGTGTGTGTGTGTGTGTGTGTATGCCTTTTTTATCGTCAGTATGCTACTGTTGTGGAAAGTTTTTGTTTAAGTAGGAGTCTAAAAATCTATTTAGTTCTCATGCATAAATGCATAAATCACATCACTTTTTAGTGCAATGCCTGTTAATGTAATTCCACATTGTCTAATTATGAAATCATAAAGACAGATAACAGCCATGAGGAACTGAAGACTGCACACATTGAGAGATTCAGAGCCTGACACTCAAAGAAAGGACAGTGGCAGTAGCTCTGTGGAATGTCACAGTTGCACAAGAACAATACTGTGTATTGAAAGAATCAACAGCACATTGAGCATTCCTAAATTGTTGTCATTCAGCAAACGCCACTGAGGAGAAAAAAGGAAAAAATCAAAACCCAAAAGACATTTTACATAGAGAGTTAGAGCCACCAAATGACTATTATATACAACCTTTGGAAAGAAAAGAGAGCAGAAGACACATCATATTGTCAGGAAGCTGACAGGTGACACACAGGACAACATTCACAACGGGGGTGGGCTGATGTGTGTGTGTTGAGTGTGCAAGACCTACTAGGTAATACCATGAGAAAAGCATGAAGGAGCTATCTTCCCCAACAGCATTTGGAGAGCACAGGTGTGCACACTTAACCACTTCCCAGCATCTTCGTTGCACGTTGGTTGGCCTCATCAATTCTGGTTTTGTTGGAATCAGCCTAGAAAAAAAAGGAAAGCCAAACAGAACTCAGGTTACCACCTTAAACCACTTATTCTCCAGGATGTAGCACAAAGGTTTCCTCTTGGAGGAAATTATCTTGAAAGTTCCCCAGTCAAAATGACCACTCTTTTCATGTTCCCAGTATAATTGCCATGGTTCCACTTGAATATGACCACAGAAGCTTTGATCCTGCTTTTTAACTGTCTTCCCTATTAGAAAGCATCCTTTAGTAAACAGAGATGTATCAGTTATCTTTAGATGCTTAAGGATCTTCACTGACTTCTGTGGCAGTATTCTACTATAATAGATGTTTCACCTCTGTTGGACTAGGTTGAATTAGAGCCACTCCTACAGTTGGATTCAAATGATTAACATATCATTTCCCCAAAATTACACCCCCAGGTTTTAGGTTTCCTGTCTACACTGTGGAGACAATAAAGAAGATAAGACTGAGCATGGGCACCTATCTATGTTTGATAACATCCTCTACCAGTTACGCATGACTATTAGCTTGATCTTACAAGGGAGGAAAATAAGCAGGTAGAGTTCAAGCAATTTTTCCTTAGAATTTTCATCACGAAGGCCTTAGTAGGTGGAAGAACCACAGTCACAATGCAAATCACTAGGGGTTACAGTCCACATTATCAATCTTCTCTCTCACCTGGGTTTGCTGTAAGGATTTGGCACTTTCTAAGCATGTTACACATAATGTGCTTAGAAAAAGCTTTTGCAAACATTAAGCCCTCAAGGTTTCTTATCTTGCAGTTACTATTATTGGGTGAAAGCATGCCTTGTTTTGAAGAGGCTTCGTACATTTTTAGCCTCATTGCTGAAGATTCACTTCCACTAGTTCGATAAGTGTCTTGTCTTCAACAGGGACACATTTACCTTAGTCTTGCACCTTGCTGACTTTTGCCACTTGGTTGACATATGGCTTGTGTTACATTTTGATATACATGTAGCATGAAATCCAGGGGGTGCTAGTAGGTTAGAAAATTAATGATTCCCCTCACCACTGAGAAAGATGAGTCAGTAAGGTAGGGGTGAGGAAGACAGCTCTGCTCCAGTTATCATTTCTTCCTATCCTGACAGGTAATATTGTCTGTGCCTTTGTGGAAGAGAAGGAAGCTTCCAGGAAGAGTAGAGAAACTAAAATTTTTTTAAATCAACATAATTGTTGGTGTATCTGTGTCCCCGAAAGGATACTCTCCTTTACTGACTTTGTACCTACTGCCATCCTTGCTGAGCCTTCTTTATTCAGCTTGAATTGGGAATTCTCAGGACCCTAGAATTATCTATGTTCAAAAGCAAATGTGTGAGAGGGTGAAAGAAGGGGTGACATTGTCCAAAAAGAAATGTACTCTGGGGCTGGGAAGGTGGCTTAGTGGTAGAGTGCTTGCCTTGTATGCATGAGGCCCTGGGTTCAATTCCTCAGCACCACATAAGCAAAAAGAAAAAAGCCGGAAGTGGCGCTGTGGCTCAAGTGGTAGAGCGCTAGCCTTGAGCTGAAGAGCTGAGGGACAGTGCCCAGGCCCAGAGTTCAGGCCCCACAACCGGACTCCCCCCACCCCCCAAAAAAAGAAAAGAAATGTACTCTGGCTTACGTAACTGCAACCCCTCTGTATATCACCTTTATAATAACAATAAAAAAGAAATGTGAAATGTGAAAAGTTGAACAGATTTGTAGATTATTCATAACTTTGAACTACTAGCTATAGTTCTCTGTCATCTGTTTATTTAATCAGGAGTTGACTTTTAAAAAATTATTTACATCATAAGATAGAACATTCATTTTCCTCGGTCTGAACTATAGAGGCATATTTTTTACCTCAAGCTCTTCATTTGGAAAATAAACAATCCCTCTAATTCTATTAGGTTTTTAAATCCTCCCTCTCCAGCTACAAATTTTTATCAGAAATAATGATACTCTAGTCCAAAGGAAAATTACTAGCTCAGACCAATTTGAAATGTTTCTGTGGACTGAATTATGCTGACTGAATTTCCAGATGGAACTTTGAGAATAGCTCAAGTGAGAAAAAAGAAATCCTTCTTAAAATAAATGACATTCCTGAACGCAAATGCTGTGGAATCTCTTGCATACAAACTCCCTGACCAGTTTTCACATGACACAAGTAGAACTCTGAGTTTCATTTTTCTATATCCTCAAAGGATAAGGGCAGAGCTAAAACAGACCTTACTTAGTTCAATGGGCATCTGTGATTCAGTTTTTTGCTGGAGGGTATTAAAATTCCAGCCCATAAAATACCTGTCATGAAAGGTACCACAGCTTTCTTATATGAAAGAAGCAATGCTTTTTAGAAAAGAAATTCTTATAGAATAGCCTCTTAGATGTGTTCTTAGTATTTGGAGAAGACTTCTTTATTCTCCTGTTTATGTACTTGAGGACTTTATTTGTGGAAGGTAGCTATCCTAATTTTCTAAACATTTCTATTAGAAATCTTCACTGACTGACACACCCACTATATGCTGCCTGATTGGCCCTTGTAAGAAAGTGGCATAGTCACCAGAGAATCAATAAGGGGTTGAAGATGCTATACAAAGTACCGCTTTGACAACTATGGACATATCTCCAACTTCAGACGTTAGCCAGTGATATTCAGGCCAAATCAGACTTCCAGGGCTGAATGCTTATTGCTACATACAGCAGCAAATTCTGATTCCTAGTTAGGACTGCTAATTTTCAGATGAGTGTACCAGGTCAGAACTGTTGAACAGCAAGACCCTGTTAGAAGATGACGTCTTCATTCTCAAGAATTATCTCTTCGGGATAGGAAGGTGGCTCAGTGGAGAGCGCTTGCCTTGCATGCCTGAGGCCTTGGGTTTGATTCCTCAGCACCACATAAGCAAAAAGAAAAAAGCCGGAAGTGGTGCTGTGGCTCAAGTGGTAGAGCGCTAGCCTTGAGCTGAAGAGCTGAGGGACAGCGCCCAGGTCCAGAGTTCAGGCCCCACGACTAGACCCCTCCCCCCCAAAAAAAATTATCTCTTGGTGGATGGAAGGATGTGAGGACAGCTGAGGAGTCTGCCTCACTGGTTTCAATAGGTTCCTGGCAAATACCACTGACCACTTTAAGTTGAAAATTTAACATCACTGTGGTTTCCTTAGCAACAGTTCCCATACAGCCTCTAACATAGCTTGCTTTCATTTTAGCTGCATTCCAGAAGAATTGTATACTCTTAACCTTAGAAGATTGTCTGAGTAAAAAAAAAAAAGCGAAGGCTTTTAAATATGTATTTTCTTAAAGTCCCTATTCCATGGGGAATGGATTGAAATGTTCATTTCTTTGGACTCCTACAGTTTCACTGTTAATCAGGTAATAGGTAAAGATCATGATGGATGGAGGTCGGTGAAGGTCCTCATTAGGCTCATAAGAGAAAATGGAAGAATAATCACAAGACTCTTCTTGTTCCATGTGATTTTAATTAAATTATTTGGGGCAACATTGGTTTGAGATGGACTCCAGAAAATCATACCCAAATTATGATTTTTGAAAAGAGTGTGGATGCAAGTGTGGTAGTACTGTTTAAACTATTAATTGGATTGAGCTAGTTATTCAAAGCAAATAGGCCTTTCTCCAACTGTTTAAGTGTTTCAGCAGTGAAGGGCTGACAGGAACAGGGACAGAAACAGTTATTTCCCATTCACTTGTCTGTCTTTTGTTTAAACTTTATGGATGTATTTATCTCTGCTTGGGTTGTACACTCGGTGTTCTAAATAAAAGGTTCTTCTTAAAGATAAAAAATAGAACTAGTAGAGCAAGGTACATTTGCCTTTCCAGGAACATTTCTTGTTTAAAGTCTAAACAACTCTGTCAATAAGAATTTGATCTCAATATTTGTAAAACGTATCCTTCAGGAACCCTAAATGGCTTTGATACATTATCTGCTTGCATCTGAGTAAATTGGGACCATTAATACAAGATGAATACTTCCTGTTTTCTCAAATAATTTTCCTGTTAGAGAGCAGTTCAGCCATTATTTCTTAGTCCATTTTTTTTTCTGGGCCATAATGGTTAAGGTCAGGTTGGGTTGGCTCCAGTGCTTTTTGAAACACTCAGTATTATTCTAAAATCCATTGGCTTTCACAGCTTTAAAAGCTTTATCAGATCAAAAGCTTTATAACGATGCCAAGTATGTCATAACTTGCAGAAGTAAGCAAAGCCCAAGCATTTTACTAGCCAACTCTGACATTTGGACAGGTCAGTATTGATCATCCAAAATATTATGCAAAATATTATTTTTTTATATGGAGTATATAAAACACAAACGAGCATTATATTCCTTTTCTGCTGATTTATTCCTATTTCAAAACATAGGAAGCTAGTTGACTTACAAGAAATGAATAGGTAGCCTTTGACTTAAGTGCAGTGTACATAATGGAAAGTGCTAAGTTGAGAGGATGAGTAGGATTGGGAGAGATCGGGGAGAATCATGTAAGGGATGACACTGATTAAGATACATTGTACTCAGAAGTGGATATATTCAATTGAAATCCTTCTTTCAACTACTTAAAGATAACATATGCCCTTAAATTATCCTTCCCTACTCACAGGAGTGAATGACTTATTATAAAGAAAAATCAGGATCTTAGACTCAGGACTTCAATATCTCACAGAGAAGGAATGTAACAAAATATTTAGCCAGACAAAAGTTAATAGTTAGCTGTACAATATCTATAATGTACAAAATCTATAATGTGTCTATTTCTCCTTTGGACATTCAAACACTTAATGAGATTATTATCAATATTCAACAACCTGCTGATTGAGGAAAGGGGTAAAATTCAAGGAAACATGAAAAGAACATCAGATTTTTGCCCCAACTACAGAAAATCTCTAGTGTCCCTTTCTATTCTCTTGTACTTTTATGCTCCAAACCCATCTCTTTATTTTCTATTCTCTATAGTCTTCCTCTTGGCCCTTGCTGACTTAGAGGGTGTCTTAGGGCTGAGTCTGATAGCCTGGTGTGAGCTTGTTTCATCAAATGTTTCCTGTTTTGAGATGTTGGATGCAAATGGTTGGATTGGAATTGGAACCTGGTTCTTTAGCTTTTACAAAAAGAAAGTTGCAACTCATCTTCTGGTTAAACGGAGTTTATTTCATCATTTTCTGATTCTGTGTCTTTACCACCTCCACCTGGTAAATCTCTAACCAGCCTTCAAGACTCAACTTAAAAGTGACTTTCTCTGAGATTTTTTCCCCCCACCCTGCTGCTTGAAATCCTTTTTCTTTTGACCCTGATTATCTTTTTTCATAGAATTTGTTATATTATGGTAGTAAATTAATCCAGCACCTCATTGTCTCCCATAGGCTGTGAATTCTTTGGCAGTGGGAATGATGTTTTTCTCATCATTTTTTTATGTTATACAACAGCATTTAGCACAATGCCTGGCATGAAGGAGAAATAGCTGAGGAAAGTTTATATTTACAGGCTGGGGCATAGCTCAATGGTAGAGCATCTGACTGGCCTCACCAAGGACAAACAAAGAAACAATAGCAACAACAAAAAACCCACAATTAGATTCTAATATTTACTCTAGTTCTGTTGCTGATGTCTATGTTCTTCGCTTAGAAAACCAAAAACAATATATCCACCAATTAGTGTATTTGAATCCAATGTCATGGATTCAGGGCCTAGTTATGGCCTTCATGCTTCCTAATAGTTAAATGAGAATGGAAAAGCCCTGTGCTCACCTTCTCCATGATCCTGTCGATCTGGCGATTCTGTGTATCAATCTCATTGCCCATATCCAGGGCCATGTGACGGAGGTTTCCAATGATGCCGCTCACCTGCTCCAGGTTTTCATCCATTTCATTTTCTCGGGCATCATTTGTTACCCTAGGAGCCACAGAGTAATGTTCAAAAGATAAAAGATGGGAAGAAACCAGAATACCAAAGGCCTGAAGCTTAGGGCAAGTCTATAGACACATGAGGATCGCTGTTAACTGTCTTTAGACTACATTCAATTAAGGAAAAAAAATGTGTTATCTTTGGTATACTAGAAAATTATTATTTTGTCTGGAAAATATTCCAGTTTACCATGTTTCATTGACATTATACAAAAATTAATAGCTATCTTGGCCTAGAAAAGGTAAAGTTAATTTTAAAAATTTGTACAGGGTAACACACTATATTTAATATGCAAGGTTGTATCCACATGGGCTTGATTACAGAAATTAATAGTCTTTTTCAAATAAAATACTCTCCAAACGAAAGCAAAATAAAAAAATAACATTTTGTTTTGACTTGAAAACGAATTTCATTAGAGTGCTTGCCTAACAAGTAAGTCTCTGGGTTCAATTTCCAGCATTAAAATAGAAAAAGAAAGAAATTGCATTTTGAACCCTTAAATTTTCTTTCTTAAAGTTTTTTTTTTACTTCTTCATTCTTTTTCTTTGCCTTTGTCTGTCTGTTTTGTTTTCTCCTTTTCCCAATTCATTCCTTCCTCTCTCTCTTTTTTTTTCTTTTTTCTTTTTTTTGCTGGTCGTGGGGCCTGAACTCTGGGCCTGGGCGCTGTCCCTCAGCTCTTCAGCTCAAGGCTAGTGCTGTACCCACAGCACCATTTCCAGCTTTTTTCTGCTTATGTGGTGCTGAGAAATCGAACCCAGGACCTCATGAATGCAAGACTAGCAATCTACTACCGAGCCACCTACCCAGCCTTCATTTTTTGTTCTTTATATTGCCCAGGCTAGCCTAGAATTCTTGATTCTCCTGCCATTATGCCCAACTTGAGTTTCTTTTTTTTTTCTTTTCTTATGCCAGTCTGCTAGCACTCTACCACTTGAACCACAGCTCCACTTTTGGCTTTTTGGTAGTTTAGTGAAGATGAGTCTCATAGACTTTCCTGCCCAGGCTAGATTCCAACTGTGATCCTCAGATCAAAGCTTCTTGAGTAGCTAGTATTACAGGTGTGAGCCACTGGCACCCAGCTTGAATTTCTTTCTTTCTTTCTTTCTTTCTTGCTTGCTTGCTTGCTTTCTCTCTTTCTCTCTCTCTCTCTTTTTCTTTTTTTCCATTGGTCATGGGGCTTGAACTCTGGGCCTGGGCGCTGTCCCTGAGCTCTTCAGATCAAGGCAAGCTCTCTACCACTTGAGTCACAGTGCCACTTCTGGTTTTCTAGTGGTTAATTGGAGATAATAGTCTCACAGAATTTCCTGCCCAGACTAGCTTTGAGCCATGATCTTCAGATCTCAGCCTCCTGAATAGCTAGGCTTACAGGTGTGAGCCACTGGTGCCCAGCTTTTAATTTCTATTTTTAAAGACAGTGTACTGCATAGATGAATTTTTCTACTTTTCTGACATCTACCATCACATGATTTCCCTTTTTACCCAATTCTAATTTTAAATGTTAAGATAATTTTAACTTGAGAGACTCCAGGTCAGACAATAAAGGTAGAACTGGGTAGAAACTCAGTTTTCCTTCCTTGACCAAAAATCTCCAAGAATCAAATAGAAAATGAAATAACAAGTTCTATGCTCAGAGATCTCTGCTCCTTTCTTTTTCCACTTAGGGTCAACATCATTGGGAAGAGTAGTGTTAGCTACAGTCTGCCTCTTAATCCTTCTAGCTCCCAAGAACTCCAAAGATAGCTATCTATTAAGGCTGATTAGTATTTGGTCATAACTTAATGCCATGGATTTTCAAGTGGCATTGTGAATGGGTGATTGCAGAGTAGAAAATTGTGAAACAAGATTTATTGCTTCAGCTAAAAATGAAGTGAGAATTGGGGAGGGAGGAGTAGGCTCACAAGGGATTTAACTAACTTTCCACTGTCCAATTGGAAGGTTAAGAAGATACTTGTTTTGCAAACAGTAAGCACTTATTCCAGAAGAGTCTTATTGCTTGTGGAAATAAGAAGAAAAAAATGTTTGGAGGGATTAGACTGTTTCCTTATTGGCAATTTTCGTTACAAATTAGCCCATTTTGATTTTTTAAAAGATGTCTAGGCCAGAGAACATTTAAAAAAAGGTAGAGAGCCAGTCCTTATTTTCTCATATATTGAACAAATTTGTTTAACTAATCATCAATCACAAACATGCACTTAGAGTTCAGTGGTGCTCAGACCTTATTGCACAGTAGACTCATCTGAGAAGGTATAAAAAATATACATGTTGTGTCTCATGTCCAGAAAATTGATTTGATTGCTGGGGATTGGGGTAGGCCCTGATTTTTGTTTCATTTTGTTAGCTTTGTTAGCTGATTCCGATGTGCAACTATTGGCTTAAGAGACATTGGTCTAGTTTCCCTGGGAGTAGAGAGAGGTAATAGCTTCCTGATATTGCTAGCCTATTACTGCCTCATCAATCACTGTTATTAACATTGAACACCTCTGTAAACAGTTTTTTTAAAAAGATTTGTTTAATTAAATTCATGACAGTGTAGTTGATAGCCTGATTCTGTACTGTAGTCGTGTCATTTTCTTTATCCAAGGATATTCTTCTAAATCAATGACATAAGCCATAGTTTGATAAGTGCTTTGTGCATTGGAGCTTGATGCTATTACCATGAATGAGACCTTGGTTATTCTGTTGGAAGACCACATGAAGATGAACAAAGATGTACCATTGATGGTTCTAGCCAATCACCATTTGAGACAGGCCACCTTGGCTCATCCCACCGCTATTTGTTTACAATCCCAAGAAGTAAGCTCAGAAAAGGCTTGAGCAAGAGCTCTCAGCCAACAGATAGATTGATGAGTACTAAAATGATGGGCAGGCTGATTGTCCAACAACAGAGAACTACTCCATAGTGGACTGTAGGAAGCTTACCTGCGAATGAAGCCACCACTGATGGCCATCTGCTCCCGTTCATCCACCACACGAGCAGGCTGGCTGGCAACCACTCCATCCTGATTATTGCCCCAGGCCTTTTTGTAAGCATCACTTGATTTAAGCCTATACAAAAAAGAGGGTGAGTGACAAGGCACAAGGGGGAGCAGTAAGCTCAGAGCAATTGTTATTTCTTCAAGCGAAGAACCGAATCAAGCAAAATGAGTCTTAAGTCTGAGGCATTAGAGAATACCGATATATCATAATCTGGACCCAAATAGTTGGCCACCACCATGCCCCAGCTACTTAGCCTTTTCTTTTCCAATTGAGTCAATTGCAATCAATGGTCAAGACTGAAATCGTTGGTTTGTTTGGCAGCTTTAATTGAATTTAAGATAGAGATTTCGTAGCTGGAGTACATTCAGTTCTATTTCAGTAACGTGATTATATTTTGAGACACAAAACATAGAAAAACATACTGGCAGACAGACACAAAACAAGACTGCCAAGTAGAGTTGTGTATGTTACACCACAGCAACACAGTGTCAACCAGAAAAACATACTTGAGACCACGATTTTACACACCATCATGCAAAGATCCCTGTTGAATACTTTTCCCTCAACACACGTGTGGAGCTAACATTTCCAATGTTTCATGAAGGACACAAAGGCCTGGTGGTTGGCCAAGGATAATGGTCTTTGAGTTGCCTCTAGTATGATTTGAATTAGATAATATATCGGTACTTCCAAACAGTCACCATACATCCAGAGTTGATGTACAAACCTTTGTCCACAGAGACAAAAAGTAAAAGAAGCATAGTGAAATGAATGCAGGAAAAGAGAAGAGAGAACAAGCCATCTAGCACCAGGGAAACCCCTCTATATCTTCTTCATGCACCAGCTACAGGCATGAGTAGAAAGTGAAGCATTCTCATTGAAGCCAAACTACTTCAGAAGTTGACCATTCTCGAAAAAGGCACTAGCAGGACAGTAATAGCCTTCATGAGGATTTGAAACGCAGTTCAGTAGCTTCTTTGTTGGGTAGAAGGGCAGGACAGAGAGAGAGAGAGTGCTTACAAACTCCTACTTCAAACTATCCTGGGTTGTGACAGTGGAGAGTGGTTTGGAACTGGTGTGGTCTCCATGGGCTGTATTTCACTGAGCTGCCTTGGAGAGAATCTTAAAATCCAGGCATACCTTTTTTTTTGTGCCCAATAGAAACATGTGCAGCATATTTTGGTGGGTGTACTGTAATTTAAAGCAATCAAAGATGTTTTTAGGTTCTTTGCATAGTAGAAACCACATGCTTCTTAGTCCAATAGACACCCTTGGGTCCAATTTTTGTATTTTTTCTTATAAAGACATCAGAATTTAATTTTCTTTTCTTCCCTTCACTAGTGAGCCCAAGCTATCCATTTGAAATTGGCTCAAACCTTTGCAGATTGGACATCAAGAAAATTGGCAACCAATTGGAAAATTGCAGCGATAGAAATTTCAGCAACTCTCACAATTCAGGGTACAGCATCATAAGGCTCTTTGATGGCGGCTGCCATCAAAGGGCCGTGGGCCCAATCAATGGGAAAAGATCCCCAAATTAATTTAATAGAGTTTAGATATTGGTAACTCCCATCCCAACTCCCTATCTGCTTGTATTGAAGAAGCTGTATGGACTCTGTGATGTTTTCTGCTATGTAAAAATGTCTGATAGACCATCTTTGGCAAAGTTAAAGGAGGAGAAAATATGCGTTTCCAGAAGAAGGCAAACCACTGCACCCACAATGCTGCGCATAGACTCACATCACTGCCGTACATCTATCATAGTCCTTCGAAACATGCCGAGACAGGGCGAAGCCCTCAGATAATCCAGGGCACCACCAGCCACTGCGTTGTGACACATGGTTTTTGAAAGCATTATTTACACACAATAGGAAACACTTGGTCAAGCTTTGAAGCTCAGTTAGGGTCTCTTGTGTATTAAAGAATTTGTGACCACTTATAGGTGGAATTCTCATAGGGGTCATGTTTCATCTGCACCTTAGACTCCACCCAGGAGTGGAGCGGGGGCAGGGAGGAAGCCTGCTTCCTCCCTTTCTTCACACACAGTTGATGAAGAGGGGAATGTATTTGTTGGAGTTCACCACAAAACAGATGGAAACCTCAAGATGGGGCAAGTGGCCTTTGCAGAAGACATACAGTTCAGATCTTGACTAACTGGAATGCTTGCTGAGCAATGAGTCATTTTGGTGAATTATATGATGATTAATGAATTGTGGAGGAACATTATGTTTTAAGGGTAGTTGGGCCCGTCTTAGCTTTGTAGGATTTTTGAGCCATTTATCTGTTTGATAGTCTTTGGGTAGTAAATGGCAGTGGTTCCATGGCAGTGGTGTATCTTCTTCTTCCAAACCAATTTATTGTTCATGATTTTTTTTTTTTTAAATGAAGACATTATAGGAGGATGGAGATTGAGTGGGACAATGAAACTCTATGTAGATGCCCTGGAACAAAACATTTAAAAATCTGCGATATGATTTTCGTTTCCATTGCCCTTTCTGTTTGTGTGTAATGTGGAAGAGACAAAAGCATAAGGGTGAGAGTTCCAGTGAGCTGGATTCCAGTTAGTCAGCCTTTACTGCAGATCATTCTTTTTGAAAACATGCTTGTATTTATTGGTAAATTGAGCCCCTCCCCCTCCTAAGCAGGAAGTGGGATATTTTAAATCAGCCTCAAAGTTTAAAGGATGTGAATGGTCATATACTCTGCTAAAAATGACATTGAGTTCTACTCTAAAAACTAGGATCAGGAGAGCTTTTTTGGGGAGGGGGAAGGCTTCTTTTGAAAAGGGAAGCAGGAGGGGAAAGGGAGACTGGGTTATGAGTTTAATTTTCCAAATGCATGTTGGACAATCCATGCATGCATTTATTATATTTTAATGGCTAATCAAAATGAGACTATCTTCTAGAACCTTCAGTTTCAGGTTCCTTCTGTTGCAAACCTTTATAACCACATGTCACATTTCTGCTACATTCAAAAAAAAAAGCGTTGCAGAACCTTTAGAACAGTTGAATGTTTTGTGATGTCGTGCATGCAAAATCTACACATTTCAACATTTCAGCCAGTGTACAAACAGATCTTCCAAGGGGAAGTATTTAAGAGGGCTGGGTCCAATTTAGGCCAGGCTTGAGCACTGTTGGTCACAGGGCACACTGCCTTTCCCTGGGTGCTGCTATAGCATCTCATGACCGAATTGGGGACGAAATGGGCAATAGGAAGGGAGAATTTCTGTCATACTCTCTAGCTTACAGAATGCTTACTTTGGGCCAAATTACCTGCCCTTTTCACTTACGAAAAAAAGTCAAGCCTTGCGATAAGTGATTCCCATCCTCCAAACTTACCCACGGCCTTTTCTAAATCTGCAATTTTTGTTCTTGGGGTTGGGATTCATCAAGTTCCCTAGGTACTTCTATGTCAAAGTACACTTTCTGGAAAATGTTGAAATGTTCATCAATAAAAGTTGCTGACAGTGAAGCTTTCACTGTAGTATGCCTGATTTTTAATGCATCAACAGTAATTCCCACTAATATCATCTATGCTATGAGATGAATGCATTGGAGACGGTATTGATCTGTTCTGCATGCCACATGCTCATCCTGCCTATGAGCCTGCAGGAATGAGCTGGTCAAGGCTTGGAGATGGGCCTTGGGAAACCAAAGCTTCAGGCAGGCAGGCAGCACCTACTTGTTACAGGGACACACACAAAGCCCGCAGAATTTTCCTAGGTCCGTCAAATTCTTTTCTGCTTCTTTCATGTCCTTATTGATTTGGTCCATCCCTTCCTCAATGCGTTCCAGTTGTTCTGATTAAACACAAGTATTTTTATCCCCACAGAATGAAGCAGATGGAAAAGGACAAAGAAAAAAAAAGACAATGCTTCAGACATTCACTTTGACATTAAAAAAAGAAAAAAAAAAAAAAGAAAAAGAAAGAAAGAAAACTGGACGCCACAGATTAGAGCTGGTACCCCAGTACCTACTTGTTACAAGGACATATGAAAAGGCCACAGCATTTCCCTAAATCTTTTAAATTTTTCTCGGCCTCCTTCATGTCTTGGTTGATATGGTTCATGCCTTCTTCGACACGATCGAGTTGTTCTGGTTAGGACAAAGGGATGATAGTGTGGAATGAATTTTTTGGGGGTTTCCAAACAGAACGTGAGAAATGACTATGTGAAACAGAATTTGAAAGAGAGAGAGAGAGATTACAATGCATTGGCCCAGAAGATGCATTGTTGCAGATTGCTGAGGTCGCCCTAGGCAGGCATGGGTGGAAAGAAATGAACAAGAATGATGCTTTAAAATAGTCTGCAGTTGGAAGATGAAAGGATGGGGTCAGGAGGCCTGTTTGATTTTGAGTATCCAGAGAAACAGCCCAGCATATTCCCTCACTCAGACACTAGTGAACCCAAGAGAAAGAAAAACAGAGTGTTAGTCTACATTTATGGTATTTTCATTTAATGCTAATAGAGAAAGTTTCCATTTCAACTTCAAAATATAACAAAATCTTTTCATTTTTAAGTATCTTCAACCAGATAAAGGTTGAAAATCATGTTCTTCTTTGGGGAAAACAACAGCATTAATTTGCAATAGATTTGGATTGGTTTTCTTCACTTAGCAGTGGCTATGTGGGCAAAAATAGATCATTTTTTTTGTCTTTTTCTGTATTTAATTCACAGAAGCTGGAAAAGAAAGCAACATCAGCCAGGCAATATTGATAGTACCAGGATGTTTCAATTCCTCTCTCATCCTGCCTTTATTGCTATGAATGCTTTGGCTGGTTTTTAACTCCTCCAGCTGCTGATTCTCCAGGGTCTGCAATGGGTGGAGGGGAGGGGATACAAAAGGTCAACTCCAGGAAGCCAACAGAGAGAACAAATGTCTCCTTGGAGGAGGTGTGATAGAGTAGAACGTAGAATAGCATTGAGCTCTTCTGGCTAGCAAGGATGACTTTAGTGTATCTAAGATATAGATCGATAGTCACAAAAATAAATCATACTTCTAGGTTGTTAGGGTTACAAACATCAACTGGATTTATTTTTCAAAAGGCATGCCATCAAATTGAGGTACCTACAATTCTGATGAAGAGAGTTTTAAAACTGCTTTTAAGCTCATTCATGAACAACAGCAAGGATATATCCTGCCTGTCATCTAATTACAGGACCTAATTATATTGCCATTTCGCTTTTCGTCTATGTTTCATGCATGCATGCATGCTTATGCCTCTAGGAATAAAGTCATGCTTAGAATAAAACTGAGAAACACATTTTTAGCCTAAGGGCATACATAATCTCTTAGAAATGGTTTCCCATTAAACTGGATAGTGGAGATTGTCACTGCTAAACCAAAGATTGGTTAACTGGTGACCCAAATTAAGGAAATCATGGATTTGGAATAAAGCTCTTATTTGTGTGCCCTTTTGTGAGGTAGAGGGATAGAATTCAGGTTATTAAAGACAGAAATCTATTATCTCTGCTATGCTTTAAAAATGTCTGATGGAAATAGAATTTCAGTTGTTTATCGCTGGATAAAAATACCTAAGGGGAATAATGGTAGAAGGCCAAAGAGCTTTCATTAAATAAATGCAAGTACAATGATTTTTTAAAAAGAAAATCATTTGTCACAAGCTTTCTAACAAGTCTATTGATTTTTAGAGTTTGCTGAGTTATGTTTGTGAGTGTATTTAAGTGTATTAGGACTTCATAGAACATGTATGATTTCTATGAAGATGCTTCTTAGGAAATGCTTGAAAGCAACTAATGTCTTCATTTCTTTCTGGCTGGACAATAACATCTAGGAGGCTGGTGCAATACTATCATGCCACCTTGTCTTCTCCCTTGCTAACCTAGCTTTCTGGCTGTTTCCTGTTTAATCTTGGAGTCTGAGCAAAGAACATTGAGGATGGCAGGAGTTATTTCACTACTTTAGCTCTGTATGTTGGGATCAGAGCTTTAAAATTCTTTGGCCATGACACTTGAATGGTTGGTGATTTGTGATAGATCCACCAATGGCAAGAAAGTCAAAATCTGAGTAGATGTCTTCTATTAATCTCATCTAAGTAAAGCAACATGAGACTTGTGGAATCTTCAATCTGAGCTAGTAGTGGTATTTCACCTCTGAAAAGTCGAGCCACTCGGGAGGTGGACATTGGGAAGATGGAGGTTTTAGGCCAACCTGGGCAAAAAGTTTGTGAGAGTCTCATCTCAGCAAAGCATGTGGTGGCATACGCCTGTTGCCCAAGCTCTGTAGGAGCCCATAGATGGGATGATTATAGCTGAGTCCAGGCCGGGGTTGGGGAGAAAATACAGAGATCCTATCTGAAAAATAATCTAAAGCAAAAGGAGAGGAGATGTGGCTCAAGTGGTAGAGTACTTGTCTCACAAGCAAGAATAAGTATTTCAACTTGGTTAAAAGGCAGAACACACTATTGATCTACTATGCTATTTGATGCTACTGATCTACTGTGCATGCCTTCATGAGTATATAAAATGCTGCTTTACACGATTTTCACTTTCCTTAACATAAAAACTCACTTATAAAAAACCCCACGTATATCCAATAGCTACCATATTGGACAGTGAAGCCTTGGTCAGTCATAACTGCTATTTAGTGAGTGGATGCTAGCAAGAGGAATGTTTTTCTCAAGTGCACTGCTATAGTGCCAGGAGCCTTCTAAGACAGTTGATTGACTTTTTGGATGGGGCTTGAGTTTGTCTTTCTTTTGCAGGAAGTGATGGTGGGAGATTTCACTGTTTAGCTTGAAGTTCATCTTCATAGACTTCTTAAAGAGGCACAGCTCAGCCATCAGAATAAACAGAATAACTCAGCAAAGACCAACAAAAAGAATGAGAAAAACAAAAGGAAAAGGTTAGATCATCCAAGGAGTTTTCCTGGGACACAAAGTTTGGTTTTGGTTTTGTTTAGGGAAATAAAAGTCCCAGGGTTATATATGTCTGTCTCCAGGTCTATCTGTCATGCTCACTGCTCCTTGTGGTCCCCTGATACCTGGGTACAAAACAAGAACCCTATACAGCATTTTCCAGTACAACCGTCCAGCTGGCCAGCCTGCCATGGTCTGATTTGACCTGACAGCAAGTGGTATGGTCCTTTAGAAGATGGCTGTTTCTTCAGGCTCCTGAGCAGCTGCGAGGTAGAAACAGTCAACACTTTTGGCAATTCAGGTATAGACAAAATTAGTAAAGCATGATCAAAAAGAATTGCAAAATGGTTTACATACATATGCAGAATTCAAAGGCATTTATGAAGGCAATGAAGACAGTTGTTGACTTACTCATATTTGTCATTGAAAAATGCCTGGACTACTAATAGAGTAACTATGTAATATGGCCTCTTCAGCGGAGGCAGAAATCTCCCATCTTTTTGCAATTTCATGTTTCTCTTCACTATCAGCCTATTTATCACAATCTAACAAACCCAGGCTATCAAAGCAAATAGCCTTAAACTGAGGAATTTGGCCCTTACTCTGGTATGGCCATAGCTGGACCGCCTAACTGAGAAAATTCACTGTCTTGCAAAGAAATCTGTCAAATGGACAGTCTGTTCTGTTTCTCAAAGAATAATATATTGTAGCGCTTGACTATCATTTCTGTTTAACAATTGTATTTTCTGTACTTGTATAGTGGGTATGGTACACTACAGTCTCTAGATTTTTATCCATAATAATAAAAGGATATTTAAAACTCAAGTAAGTGCATTTAGTTCTTTCTGTGTGTCTGTCTCTGCCTCTGTCTCTTTCTCCCTACCTTTTGTTTGTGGTGCTGTGCATGTTAAGCTGGTGTTATATCTTTGAGCTATCTCCAGCCCCAATTTCTTTCTCTCTTAAAAAAAATCCACGTGTATATCTGATTTTACATGTCTTCATGTCAATGTTGCTTTGTACTTAAGGGAAAGGTATAATCTGGGATCTTTCCCAAGTTTTCTCTCTGTTCCTACTCTCTTCACGTGGCCAATTAATTCAAAGCGATAGTAAGATTGGAATGCTAATTATTTGAGCAGATATGTTTTAATTTTGCTCCAGAAATGAAGTGCTACTCTTCTATTGTTTATTTATTTATTTTTAAAAGAGGCAGTGCCTTACAATATCTAGAATTTCAAAGTCTAAGACATTGTTACACAGATCAACCCAGCAAATGTTTATAATTGTAAAAAAAAATCCCTTTGGGAAATTATGAAGCATGGCACTGAGCTAGACTCTTACTTGGGATTAAAATTTGACAAGTGTATTTTGAGTATTTGAAAGAAAGTGATAGAGTTGATGTTAATGTTCAATTGTGTTTTTTGCATTTTCTTAACTTTTTGGACTATTTGATATACTTTTCTTTCAAAAGTTTATTTTTGGATAAAACAAAAGTTCTTTTTTTTTACAGCCATGGGGAAGTGTGGCCCTTAGGCTTCATTAACTTTGTACATATGAACTGTAACAAGTGCATGGATATTCAGGCCTTCTCTCATCTGGATGCTTCAAGTCAATGTATGAACACAATGAAGCTACCAGAACTGAACTTTTCCTAATATAGTGCTCTTCTTATGCATGCTCCCTCTCGTCTTAATGTGGCATTCTCAGAGCAGTAATCTGGGGCTTTGCCTACCCAAATCATTCCTTGTCAAGCTTCTTCTATAGGTGTCAACCTACACTGAGGTTCAAAGGCTTTCTCTGCCTACTTCTTTCTCTATATCTTTACCCCAGACCCATTCAAAACAGTCTCTCAATAAATACCTTACACTTTTAATTGCTTCATAGCATTTTGGTCCCAGAAGACCCCAAATGATTTTCCTTCATGCCTTTCCTGTTTCTACCCGAACTTTCCTTACTTCAGTAAACAAAGATTTATCTCATTTATTGTATTGGTTATATATGCCATTTATGGCCAAGCCACAGTTGATTTGATTACTCTCCCTCTTTAACAGATATTTAGGTTCTTTTTAGTCTTTCACAATTGTAAGTAAGGAATAAACATTTCTCTTCTCTGTAAAATGTGTATTTGCAGTATACAATCATAGGAATGGAATATCTTGGTGAAAAAGTTATTCTTCAAAATTTAAATAATTTATTCAATTGCTTTTCAAGACATTTGTATATGTGTATAGTACCCAAATATATAACAAGAGTTTCTATTTTCCCAACATATTAGTCATTCTGGTTATTATCACTTTTAACATTTGTGTCAATTTGATAAAGAATAGCACATCATTAACATTGGTGGTTGAAGCAAAATTTTCGCATGTCTGCTTGTAAATTGCTGATTTATGTCGTATGACATGTTTTCTTTAGTTGTTCTTTCTTTGATGATATGCAAGGACAGTCTATATTTTAGGAGAATTGTTTTATACCTATTGTCTATATCTTCTTCCCAGATGAGATTTTATATTTAGATACAGTGTCCTATGCTGTGAATAAGTTTCATATTTTTATATTTGCCACTTAAAAACCACTCACAATCCTGCATTTTTCTAATGCTTCACAAACTATGAAACTATGTATTATGATAACAATTAAGAATGGAATTGGGCCAGGCACTGGTGGCTCTCGCCTGTCTGTAATCCTAGCTACTCAGGAGGCTGAGATCTGAGGATTGTGGTTCAAAGCCAGCCGGGGCAGGAAAGTCCGTGAAACTCTTATCTCCAATTAACCACCAGAAAACTGGAAGTGGCGCTGTGGCTCAAGTGGTAGAGCGCTTGCCTTGAGCTGAAGAGCTGAGGTTCAGCACCCAGGCCCAGAGTTAAAGACCCACGACCAGGGGGGAAAAAAAAGAAAGAAAAAAGAAAAGGAAAAAAAGAATGGAATTGGGTAAATAACTTGTGACTAAAATTATATACAATATCATCATATGGCTAAATACATTGAACAAAAGAAAACTGTTTTACTTTCTAGTTACCACTTTACAGTACAAAAGAAAAAAAAGGATGTTACACTGAAAATTAAGAGAATGTTACACTAAATTTTTAGGTCTCTAATTCTTATTGCTTCAAGCATTTCCATAACAATTTTAAATACAGGTCAACTATTACAGTTGGCTCAATTTCCTGTTTTCTGAATGATTCCCTTGTGCTTATATACAGTTAAAAATAGCATCCAGTTATTTAAGGACTCTCTACAGTGTTCTGAAAAGTCAAAACTGCCAGACACAGAGTTAGGATGGTCAAAAGAATCAGACAATACAATATTCTAATTCCATCTAGGTGTTATTGGAAGGAAACCAATTTCTGTGGAAAATTTGGGGGTTAGGAGAACAGAGGAATTTTCACTACTTTTCAAAATAATACTCTTTTAAAAAACCACCTGTCTTTGCCTTCAAAATTTTGTTCTCCTAACATAACAGAGATCACAGTACCATTCACTTAGTTATAGAGAATGCATCAACATCTCCACACATTTACCAATCTTTACAATAGAGCAGGAAAACTAGCAAGATGAATATTCTTGAACCTTTACACCTGCATGCACGTGTAACATATTTAAAAAATGGCCACCTGCAGATACACAAAGAATTTAAAAATGCGACTTCCTTTAGATGAGAGGAATTGTTCTTACTGAAGAAATCTGAACTTACCTCCTTGTTCATCCAACATAACCAAAGTCCTGATACCAGCATCTTTACTCTACATTCCAATAATGGTAGCAAAGTTGAAAAGGAGTTAGAAAGAGAAAAGAGAGAAAGAGAAATCAGTAAGGGAACAATTAGCCCTAGAAATGGAAAATGAAGAAGGACCAAAGGGGGAAAAAGGGAGGAAATATGACAAGGGCATTAGGAGGTTAGGGAGGGACCCAGAGGAATGGGTAACCTGTGCACTTTCTCTATCAGTGATCTTTCAAGGTAGAAGGAGGGATAGGGCACTATTCCCATGAGCTAGGGCTGGGGCTAGGGCTGAGGCTTCCAAGATGTCAGGTGCTGGGATACCTATACTTAACATTACACTATAATTTTATACCTGGAAACAAATAAAAACACTTTAACTCTCCTAACTGCAAACACAGAAAGAAAATCTTTTAAAATCTTCTTACATTGAATTTTCTTCCCTGCCATGATTGATCAGAGTCTCCATGGAGAAGGCATGCAGAAGTCTTGGGTTAAGATTAGGCTTATCACAGCTAAATCTATCGCAACTAAGCTAGAAAGACAACCAACTAATTGGGAAAAAATATTTACCAGCAATATATCAGACAAGGGGTTAACATCCTGTATATACAGGGAACTCAAGAAACTAATCCCTCCCAAACCTAACAAACCAATTACTAAATGGGCAAGGGAACTAAAGAGGGACTTCTCAAATGAAGAAATAAAAATGGCAAAGAAACACATGAGGAAATGTTCATCATCCCTGGTGGTGAAGGAAATGCAAATAAAGACAACCCTGAGATACCACCTTACCCCAGTCAGAATGTCCCACATCCACAAATCAGCCAACGACAAATGCTGGAGGGGATGTGGAGAAAGAGGAACCCTATTACACTGCTGGTGGGAATGTACACTTATACAACCACTTTGGAAAGCAGTCTGGAGGGTCCTTAGAAAGCTAAAGATTGACCTCCCTTACGACCCAGTCATACCACTTCTAGGCATCTACCCTGAACAACAGGAACCAATATACAAGGACACGTGCACCTCCATGTTTATTGCAGCACTGTTCGCAATAGCTAGGATATGGAAACAACCTAGGTGCCCCACCACAGATGAATGGATCCAAAAATTGTGGTATCTATACACAATGGAATATTATGCAGCCATTAGAAATGACAAAATAATGGCATTTGCAGGGAAATGGATGGAGCTAGAAGGAATCATGTTGAGCGAGGTAAGCCAAGAACGAAGAGACAAACGGTACATGGTCTCCCTCATAAGTGGATGCTAAATCCAAAAGGTTAGTGATACGACAAAACTAACAGGACTTAAGAAACAAAGAACTCCCGCTCATCTGGTTGAACCACTACTAAATATCCTCATGCTGCTGATCACAAATATGGTATATAACATGTGAACACTGTTATATATTACAGACTGTGGTAGACAATTTGCTCCAGGGAAGTTTTGTGACTTTGAAATTATGTAATCATTTAATCACAATCAAAAAAAAAAAAAAAAAAAAAAAAAAGAACCTCGGGGAAGGGAGGGAGGGAGGGGATGGTAGGGGGAAAACAATGGAGGGGGTAACAATGTTCAAGAGGAAGTGTACTCATAACCTCACTCATGTAACTGTGACCCTCTGTATAGTAGCTTTACAATAAAAAAAAAAAAAGAAAAAAAAAAAAAAAGATTAGGCTTATCACAGAAGAATGTGACTTCACCAAGGTTGAAAAACACAGCTCAAAAGGAAAGTCATTCTCCCATTTTCTCTTTATGGAGAGAAATTCTCCAAGATTTAAAACAATGGGGTGGAGGTGGGGGGTGGGGGGAATGAGATCAGAAAGAAGGGCTCTTTCGTTTTGAAATCTAAAATTATGCACAATGATATACTATGAGAAAATAACTCCCATAAAATATTGCTGCAGTGTTTCTGTGAAGAAGTCTTTAAAAGGTAACTTCTCATTTATGGAGAAGGTATACAAGAGAGATGACTTGCATTCTCCCTTTCTAGAATTTTAACCAGTGAAGCCTTTCAACTTTCCCTTACTGTACTTGTTGGCTATCAGTGAAGCCTTTCTATTATAGAGTAACTGTTAATCAGCATAGAATGGAATTACCTATAGTTTGATTTTTTAAAAAGAGAGGTGTTAGGGAAGGCCAAAATTTAAATGCTATAACATTTCTTTCTTTTCTTCCTTCCTTCCTTCCTTCCTTCCTTCCTTCCTTCCTTCCTTCCTTCCTTCCTTCCTTCCTTCCTTTCTTTCTTTCTTTCTTTCTTTCTTTCTTTCTTTCTTTCTTTCTTTCTTTCTTTATTGGCAGTCCTAGGGCTTGAACTCAGGGGCTGGGCGCTGTCCCTGAGCTGCTTTTACTCAAGGTTAGTGCTGTACCACTTGAGCCACAGTGCCACTTCTGGCTTTTTCTGTTTATGTGGTGCTAAGGAATCAAACCTAGGGCCTCATGCATGTGAGGCAAGCACTCTACAACTGAGTCACCTTCCCAGCCCCTGCATAACATTTCTAAAAAAGCTCTTTTAGTCTCTGTGAGCTCTTATAGTCTCAGGCTTGGAGGATGCGAGCAGTGAACTCTGCAGGACACAAAAGCTTATGTTACTTTGGACCATATTTGACAGGCTTAAGGGGCCAGACCAGGGTGCTGGGTAGACAATGATGACACAGGATGACCTCAGTGGTATCCATGAAGAAAATGGTACTGGATTCTGGGATGGAATCCTGGTGATTTAATATCCTAGCTGCAGGGCCTCAGGCAACTGTCCTTATTCTGTGCCTCAGTTCATTGATTTGTAATACTGCAATCATATGAGATTATGCCCTATTAAGTTCTTATATGAACTTAATAAATCAATACATGGAATGTGCGAGAGTGGAGTTTAACTTATAGTAAGCATGATCTAAGTGCCATAAAATACACACATTCATAAAATGTACCTAGGCAAGTAAAACATACCCTCATCATCTTTTAACATCAGACACTTCTACTTCTAGAACACTACCTCTCAGTCTTTAACCCCTGGCATATGACTCATCTTATTAAATTTTATATTCCTAGTCCATAGTGCTGGGCCCAAGATTCTGCATTTTTAACAATCTCCTTGATATGTTACTGTTACAAGGACACACACAGGAGCAGAGAGACTCTAGGCCACAGAGATAATTCAAGTCTATTTCTTTAAATTTTTTATGAATGGAGTTTTATCTATCTGAACTTGTTTTGCAGTGAGTTCTTTGGCCTTTTCCATATATTTTAGCCAATGCCTACATGATCAAATTATAAAAAGCAGGTAGCCTTCAGGCATATTGATATGATAATGCAGGCAGAGGTATTTTAGAGAATTTTTTTCCCCTGAAGAATCAATCAAGGCTGTACCTGGTGTCTCTGCTCTATTCTGTTTGGGACAGTGCATGGAGGTAATGTTGGTGATTTTGGGTTGGTCAGTCAAGCTCTCACATATTTATACATCTTGATATTTTATTTTATATAGAGCACAGCGAGTACAATTTCCTCTTTATTTAAATAGGGAAGAATTTTTGTTTTAGTATTGGAATGATGTGCAGGGGCAAGAGAGTCTGAACTTGTTTTGATTTGAGAGGACACGAGTAGAAACTTCTGACCCGGCACTCAGGAAAGCTGCGTGGTGCTGGAAAGGTCATCTGACCTTTTTAGTTTTCCCATATCAATGATAAGATGCAAGTAATCTCAGTATGAGAGACAATTTGGTCTGTGAGCAGAACTGAGATCCCAGAGTCAGCAGCCCTGAATTCTAGTTCTATATTTGAAATCTTGTTGCACTACAGTCAAAATGCATTGTGTGTCTCAGCTTGCCCAGCAATCAGTTGAGGACAGGAAGATGAAATAAACTCCAGAAAGTAAAGTCCTCTAAAAGTCAGTTCACCTTTGATAGGAAGCAGAGTCGAGTTCAGAAAGGAACATGTTCAGAAAGCAAGAGGCAGGTTATATTTGGGGCAGAATCTTTACAATGACTGGTTTTGTTCCCTTATGTCTTGTCCCCAGTGGAAGAATTCTCAAAAAACAAATATTGTAGGAGTTGTTGTTGGAATGAAAGATAAATGTGCTGTGTAGAATTCATTCTCTGGAATCAAGCAGACCTGGTTTTTAATGTTATCTGCAACTTCTAGCCATGTGTCACAAGCAAGTTATCTAAATACTGTGAGTCTCAAATTTTCCCATGGTAAAATGGGTGTCAAAGTAGTAGTAACATGTAGCAGTAAGAATTAAAGTAGGTAATACATATTTGACGATGATGGTAATGATAATGGCTCTATGTCCAGTACCTGCCACATATAGGTTCTCTATCCACTATTTTGCTAATGTTTTCTATCAAAACAACTAGGTCTTTGGGAGACTCAGAAGCTCAGAGGAAGGATAGGGAAGGGGAAAATACTAGAGGGGAAGCAGAATATTATTTTTTCCTGTTCCTCGAATAGCAAGGAGCAAGAGCAAGAAGAGGTGGTTCTATTTTTATCTTAGTTCAGTTCTCAGTTTCTGAGATGGGTGGGAAGCAGCTTACTTAAGTACAAGGAGCTGGAGATAAGAGAGATTTTACTCTTTTTTGCTTTTGTGTTTTCTTCCTTTTTTAAAAGAATTTCTTTTCCAACTTTTAAAAATTTCATGTTTCTTTATTGCAGGATGTACTAAGACTATGTTTATGGAACAATAACAAAATGATTCCTTTGTCATATTGAGATACTTTCCTGGAAATCTACTTGACCTAAAGGAAGGTTATCTCAGGATTCTTGAGTTCTAAAGACCCCATCTGCATAACTGAAAAGAACCGCCCAGCTTGATCTTCATTTGGAGTAAAAAGGTTGGCATAACAGAAATGCAGCTTCAGAATGCTTATACCTAGCCAACGTGCTTTGAAAGACAAGTTCCCAAAATGTTCATCATATATTAATGCTTCCATAACTACTCAATGAAAGTTATATCATGCTTTCAGATTTACGTAGATCTAGAGCAGTGTGGCTTTTCCTGGGCTTTGGTTTTATTGCCCAAGGCATTTATATATAGACTTCATTTTTGCATTTAGAATTAGCAGAGTTAAATTTACTTTTCTCTTTGCCTGCAATCAAATAATTTCTCCTTGGAAATACCTTAGTGATTTTCTTACAAGAATCAATGATTCTCTCTATTATATGCTCAATGCAGGTATAACCTTGAATTTGGAGAGCTATTTATATTTTTCCCTGTAATATGTAAGTTTATATCTTTCCTCTGTGCCAGAGTTAGGCATTCCTGTTTATTGAAAAATATCCACCAAAACCAAGTTCCTACATCTAGGCTGGAAACCAGACACTATAGCACTATGTAATTGCTACTAATCTTTTTTTTTTTTTTTCTTTTTGGTGGTGGTAGTTGCTCTGCAGGTATTCCAATGCTTAGCTACATACACTTCCATACTGACAGTCTTACCCTTCTATGGTCTGCAGCTTTTCTGAACTTCCCTACTGACCTCTTGGTAATTTTATATTGTCCTTGCAACTCATATGACTTCTATTAAAAATCAAGTCCTTACCCTTGTCATACCCTAGAGTCTATTGGGGGTTGTGTGAAGTTGCACATTCCACTGAAAGCAAGAGTGTTTGCCTTAGGGACACTTTCCAATTTTAGTAACCTTTCCTGTCTTTGAGAATGAATTTCAATAAGTATTCAGTTGAATTCAAATTATGTAGCATTGATGAATTTTGGGATCATGGGCATGATCTTGATATTCCAAAGCTCGGATTTTCCAAATGATTTATGTCCTTTGTGAATATTTAATGCTGATTCTCTTTAAAGAGAAGTTTCTTTTTGATTGAAAAGTAGAGCACCATGTGACTAGTAAATGCCCTAGATATCAGGGGTGTCTGACCATAAATATAAAATAACCCAGAAGGAAGTAAGAGCAAATCAATCTACTCTAATAATGACTGGCTCACAATTTGCTAAGGATAGGAAATGATATAACCTCCTCATATTTACTAAAGGCAGGAAATTGCTTCCTTCTGTGTCTCTCCTTGTTATAAGATTCAACTTTGTACTTGATCGAGAAACTCATTAGGAGAAACAAAAACACATAATTTGACAATTCTACTTCAATCAATAGAGGCTTGGGGATTTCTTTTAACTTAGAATTAATTATAGCAAGCACTGATTTTTCAGTTGGTAGGCACTATTTGCACATTAAGAAGACACATGAAAAAGAACTATCCATGCCTCTAAACCTCTGAAGAGATGCTATTGCTCCAACATTCCCAATAGTCTGGGAAATATGTCACCACTGCACAGGTGGACAAAATGGAGACAGTTCTGGCATTGTAGAAATGTACACATGCCCACATAACCCACAAGTGAAAATAAAAAATGAAACTATAGTCTATGTTTGAACAATAAGATAGTCTACAATAAAATAATGACATCACTTTGCTTCTGGGCTCCCTTCTCCCTAACATCAAAATTCATGTAGCAACATTACTAATGTTTGCTCCTCTGTCTTTTCTTATGACAAGCTTGGGGAGAGTAAGTCTATGTGAGAGCCCTACCAGTATTCCTAGACTTAGGTACTTGCCTCCTTCTTGGTCCTCAAGTATTTCTGCATGACTGGTGTTCCCAGAACAGAGCAAAGAACACATTTCTCTTCATTTAGAGGTACAATGCTACTCTCTTGGGTCAATGCTGGTCTCCTGAAGGGGGGCAATTTATACTATGTTGCAGTCTAAAATCATCATTTTTAAAATACATTTTTAAAGGGAATTCATGGTTACCACCTTCAGCCTACTCCTCCTATGGCAATTTATGTTTAGCTGTATTTTATTCATAGGTGAGAACCGGGGCTACAGATATAAGGTAAGGGGTCAGCTCCTATAGTGTAAGAGGTAGTTCCTTCCTTTTAGCCTTTGAAAAATTTGTGAGGTGAATAGGCTTATTTAATTGTTCTGCCAGAGAAAGCTCAAGTGCTCTGAAAATGATAATCGCATATGAATTTATACATTAATAAGCAGTAGGACTGAAAGTGTACCTAAAACAGCATTCACTGAATAAAAACCATTAGGCTTGTTTTATTAGGTGAAGATAAATATAGTCCAACCCATTCTTTTTCCATTTCATCTCTCCCAATGGGCAAGTTCAATTAATCCATTTATTCTTCCTGGTTGACTGCTGCTCTACCAAGTTGGAACGAGTGAAGCTTATTGCAAATGTTCTTTGGATTCCATTATTGCTCTCTGCCCTATTTTACTAATTTAAAAATAGTTTGGGAATTCATTAACTATGCTTCACAAATGGATGTATAACCCAGACTCAGGAATATAAAAGAGCTTTTATATTTTAACACTAGATTTAATTTTTTCTGCTTTTTTCCCATTAAATTTTAGTATCTGAATCTAAAATAGAGTTCTATTTTTTAAAGGTATATACGTGACTAAAATCAAAACAGAATTTCCATTGTGGTAAGAGATGGGCATCACTGTCATTAGAAATACAGAATTTAAGTAGATAGCTCCTTAATAGATTAAAATTTCCTCTCATTTGCTTAAAGTGATTCAACCTTCAGGGAATCTTGTTTCTCTGTATTTCACACTACAAAGATGGTCTGAACTACCAAGGAGAGGGGATTTACCTTGACTGCTAACTGGCAACTAAAATGCATCATATTCATTTGGAAGCTTCCTAATAGCTACATTTAAAGTAGAAGCAACTGGATCATGGCCTAGGGAAAGGAATTAGGGAGTAGAAAAATAACAGCATGAGGGAATTGTTCCTTTATTTTAAAATACAGTCCCTCCTTACCTCTTCAACCAGTTGCAGCATACGACGGGTACTTTCCAGTGACTGAAATTTGAAAAAAAAATCATAAACATTATGAGTGCAAGAAGCAGAGATTTTGGAACATCACAAATATATTCTTCATTCAAGAAACAAAAGGGTCTTTATCACATATTAGTTTAAATTTGCAACTGAAACAAAAAATGTCTTTCTATTCTCAATCTCTTTTCTATCAGGTTTCTCTACACGATCACATTCCCTAAAGCAATTACATGAAAGTTTATTTTCATAAAATCAAAACCATATGAAGCTGAGCTTGATATCAAAGACAAAGTAATCTGGAAAAGATAATTTTGTATGCTCAGGATGCATGAAAAAATTATCTCAAATACTCTAAAGACTAATTTGGCCTCCCTAGGCTAGGAATATTGAATATTAAACACAAACATAATTTTTCATGAATTAAGATGAGTATAACATCAAGTTTCTTCTTACAAAGCTCATAGAAATACAATTGGAGGTTGTTATCAATACAAATTAAACTGTCGCCTTAGGGTGATAAGATCAAGCATGTTTGGAGTAACTAGCCTATAAGAGACAGCTAAAATAATTATCTGTATTCTTAGATAAGGGAAATTGTGATGGAAAGTCTGAGCGCAGTGCTAGTCCCTCAGGCACAGTCTTGTCATTTTTTTCAGCTCCTTTGACACTCCCATAACTCAATTCCCAATGTGATTTCTCATAGCCATGATTTTTGAGTGAACAAACTTATTTTAGGCAAGATTTTTCAGGAACCTGGAAGATGTTAATTTTTCCTGGAAGAGATTTGTGAAATAGAAAGAATGTAGTGGTATGTCAGAAAATGTCTAACAATTAGCTGTCTAGAAAATAATAAAAAATTCATTTACAGGTCTTCAAGTTTATTGTTTTACTGATATAAAGGATGAATAGCACTGGATTCACAAATAATATAATATAATACAATATGGGTTAGTTTTTCTTTTGTTTTCTTCTTTCTTTCTTTCTTTCTTTCTTTCTTTCTTTCTTTCTTTCTTTCTTTCTTTCTTTCTTTCTTTCTTTCTTTCTTTCTTTCTTTCTTTCTTGTGCTTTCTTTCTTTCTAGACTAGTGCTCTATCTCTAGAGCCACAGCACCACTTCTGCCTTTTTTTTTTTTTTTGAGTAGTTTATTGGAGAGAAGAGCCTCTCAGGGACTTTTCTGCTTGGGCTGGCTTCAAACCACGATCCTCAGATTTCAACCTCCTAAGTAGCTAGGATTTGGGTGTGAGCCAGCAGCTGGCCTTTAGGTCACTTTTTGTTGTAAATTTCACTTAGCCAATTGAGTCTCACAGGAAGCTCCTCTTGACTTTTTTTCTGAATTCTGTTTTTGCTGCTAATTGTGTGAGGAAAGAGTGTAGTTAGGGCATGAATGTTGACTGGATAATTTCATTTGTCTTCATGAGTAACAGAAAAATGAAATAATGAAGTCATGCATTAGAACTCAAACCAAAGAGGAAAGAGATTATAAAATCAGTTTCCAGAGGATGGACGATTTCCTCAATATTTGGTATGATTCTTAGTGTTATGACAATATTCTTTTAAATTTGATCCACATTACGAATATTTTCACTTATTTGTGAACTGTAATCAACAAAAGCATAACTAAAGCTCCCATGTGTGGTATTTGTAGATTCTGTTTTGTAAATCTTGCCCTGCCTGAATTCTAACTGGGTAATGATGTCACTGAATGTGGAACTGGGAAGACCCATGGTGGGCAATTCCATGAGACTCCCAACCCATAGATGAAATGGTTGGAAATAACTCAAGAGCACAAACAGTAATAGAATGTAGTAATGTAGTAAAAAGTAATGAATTTTGAGAATGTAGTGCTCTTGATTTCAGCAGAATCCATGTAATTGTCACGTTATATAATTCAATTTTAATAATAGCCGTGCTTAGCAACCAGTTTGAAGAGTGTTAACAACCAGCTCCAAGAACTGAACCAGACGCAGCACACTGTAAGACACGGTCAAGACAGTTTTTCTTAGATGACATAGAAAGATTTCTAGAAATCAAGAATGTAAGCCAAAACATTAATGATTTGAATACAGGTTTTCTAATCAACCTGTCTTAGTCTGCAGACGATTGAGCTATAAATCTTGTCACTTTTCTTTTTCTGGATCTCTTCCTTACCTCATCAGCAAGCTGGTCAGCCCTCCGCTGCATCTCCTCCAGCTCATTGCGCATGTCTGCGTCTTCGGCCATTGTAGTGGTTGGGGTGGCTGGGTGCCTAGACCCAGGAATCAGCGATGAATTTGGTCACAGAACCTGTGAAGAAGCAGATTTGAAGATGTGTGAGTTTTTATGAGTCCATGTAGGTGTCTGCAAAAGCTGGAAGATCTAAGAGGCTCACAGTGCTGCCCTGGCTGGAAGGTATACTCAGACGGGTGCAAAAAATTAGGCCATTTTTGCAAAGATGACAGGAATGCATATTTGATGATTTCATGCATGAGATAGATACCTGTCTACATATATATATGTATATATATATATGTACATATATATATGGAGGGAGAGAGAGCGAGAGAGAGAGAGAGAGAGAGAGAGAGAGAGAGAGAGAGAGAGAGAGACAGATTCCTCACTCTTTAGATCAGACTGGCCTATAACTGACAACTTTCCCCACCCCACCATCTCAAGGTTTGAAGTATGGGCATATGACACTTTTTCATATGAAGTATTTTCACTTTATTTATCTGTTTTGTGCCGGTACTGGGGCTTGAACTCAGGGTGTGCATATACCCTTTAGCTTTTTCACTTGAGGCTGGTATTCTACCACTAGAGCCACAGCTCCACTTCCTGAAGTATTTTGAAAGATACAAACCAAACAAGGATGGAGAATAATGGGATAAAGGCAAACAGTTCTAGATTAGTACACCTTTAACTTCACAATTTCTTTTTTATTTTATTTTTAATGGCTTTACAGAGATATAGTAGGCATACCACCAACCCCACATTTTTGTAGTGTGAAATTTAAAAAATTTGAGCATGTGTAGACACTCAGGAACCCATGAACACAATCAGGAAAATAAAAAAGTTCATTGCTTCCAAGAGTTTCCTTATTCTCTTTGTAATCCTACCCAACCACTCCATTCCACCCATCCCCACCCCATTCTCAAGTCCAGAAAAGTACTCTTTCCTTTCTGTCCCTTCATGCGGCATTTCCTGGAATGTCATACACATAGGTGTGCTTTTTTGGGAGGAGGAGTGGCTTCTTTCACTTGGTATAATTATTTTGAGATCATCCATGTGGCAGCATGCATTAGAAGTTCATTCTGGTTTTGTTGTTGAATACAATGTCATTATTATATGGCTTTCTCAACTGCTAAGACTGAATTCCTCTGAAACTTTAATTTGGTACATGCTACTAGAATTTTTTTTTCAGAGTTATCAGTCTTGTGAAGCAAGTCTTACTATTTAGGGTTCTTCGATTGGAAAAATCCTAATGTGAAACATCTTTGGAGATAACAAACTTCACAGATCTTTTCTACTCTGTGATTCTTGGACAAAGTGTTAAGCATAAAATCACAGCCAAGAGAAGAAGAAAAGTTTCAGGGTTGCATTTTGCTACTAACATTAAGAAAATCTTAAGTTTATGCTATGTTGGTTTTATGGCTAGCTTGTAAACAAAATTGACAGAACATGGTTCTCAGCTCATGGTATAACACTGTAAATGCTTTGTGCTTTCCTTAAATATAGGTCTCTAGTTTAGAAATTAGTGACCTAGGAAACAGAAACTGGAGAAAATTTATTACAAGACAATTGAACCTTAAGATAAATAGGAACAAATTCCAATGATCCCCTGAGAGGCAGGAGATATACCCTCTAGAATAAAATGGTGGATCATTGGGAAAGTTGGGTGGTTTATGGGCCAGAGCTTCTTGGAGTGGGCAAGAGCTTTAATATCTGAAAGACCAAGTTGAACTGTTGGCTCTGGCACTCAGAATCCAGGTGACTCTGGATAAGTTCATTGTCTTCTCTGAGTCATCGTTTCCTCAACAAGACAAACCATACTGATCTCAGTAGGGTTAAGGGAATAAATTCCGAAAGTTCCTGTCCACTTTGGAAGAATTGGGGTTTAATATTCTGAAAGCTTGTTCATCCAGAATAATCCCCATACATTTCGCAAGAAGAAAAAGAAAAAATGGAATAAATTCAGGCTCTGTTAATTAGCTTGCCATTACAGCATGCTGCTGTGGTACCTAGGGCCTCCAGAAAACTGAAACCAAGGGAACCAGAAGAATATGAAGTCTCCCGTCTCCAAGCAGCATTTCTCTAAGGATTACCCGATGGGAACAAACAAGTTGCCTCTATCTTTGTGCTCCATCTTTGTGATTTGCCACTTCGTTTCTTAGAGTTATATGTTCCTTCAGACCTGTCGTACTTCTTAGATTTAGTTGCTGATGAATTTTGTGCATTCTCTCTCCCCCTCTCTCTCCTATCTCATGTGTTTCCTTGGCAATTTCCTCTCTAAGTTGCTATTCTCATCCTGGGAAGAACAGCTGCGGGGGCTCCAGCAAACTGCACAGGACTGGTTGATGGGCAGGTGGCCTGCTGGCAGAGAAGCCATGTGGCAGATACTCTTGTTTTCATGGTTCCCCACAGGAGCACCCACACCTTTGTCTCACTTTTAAATGTGGGCTTCTGTCTGAGGCTTTTAAGGAGAGCTGATGTTTTTGACAGGTTTTAAAAGCAAGAAAGGAATATCCACCTGCCAATGAGAACTGCTGGAGAGCAGGACTTGAGTGCATGTCCGCTCTACTGTTGGGATGTTCACTGTTTGATAAATTGTCCCACAGGCCCCAGATTTCATGCATAATGCATATTAGCACTGTAGGAGACAGGCACAATGGTGTAGAACACCAGTCATTTTGGTAGCTGAAACAGGAAGTTAACAATGAGTGGCATTTATTATCAAGGTGTCCTGGAACACTTCACTCCCAGTAGCACAATGAATTGCCATTCTGTGTTTTGCTGAGGTAGTGGTATGGTCCCTACCAGCCACGATTGCTTAGTAGGTGAGGAAGGTAGGACATAGAGTTACGGAAAATGATTCTTTGGGGCAGTGATGTAAAACAACCCCCCTGTCCATTTAAGGCCCAATGGTGGTATGTTTGTAGTTGTTGTTCCAGTCCTGTGGCTTGAACTCAGGGCCTCGGTGCTGTCCCTGAGCTTTTTTTTCCCCTCAAGGCTAGCACTCTACCACTTGAGCCACAGCTTCACTTCCAGCTTTTTGGTGGTTACTGAAGGGAATAGTCTCATGAATTTTCCTGTCCACACTGGCTTTGAACCATGATCCTCAGCTCTCAGACTCCTAAGTAGCTAGAAATATAGGTGTGATCCATTAGGGCTTGGCTCAAGACCCAATGGTATCTTGTTAATTATGTGAAACCACCAACACAGTGTGAAGATCTGGCCCCTCACGGGGATTCACTTCATGTTAATTAATTGGTGAATGGATGATGACATGAAGTGCTGTATTCTTTTCTTATCATTATTTTTTTGGTGGTACTAGGTTTTGTACTTAGGGCTTTATGCTTGTGAGGTAGGCATTTTCCACTTGAGCCATTTCACTTTATTTATTTATTATTTTTAAATCTCAATATCTGGGATGACAGACACATACTACAATATCTTGCTCTTTTTTTTTGGCTGGCTGGTCATGGGGCCTGAATTCTAGGCCTAGGCACTGTCCCTCAGCTCTTCAGCTCAAGGTTAGTCCTCTACCACTTCAGCCACAGTGCCACTTCTGGCTTTTTCTGCTTATGTGGTGCTGAGGAATTGAACCCAGGGCCTCATGCATGCAAGGCAAGCGCTCTGCCACTGAGCCACCTTCCCAGCCCTATATCTTGCTTTTTATTTATGGGTTGAGATCCTGTGAACTTTTTTCCTGGGTGAAAGACCTTAACCAGTGATGCTCCTGATCTTTGCTTGCTGAGTAGCTGGGATTATAGGTGGGAGCCACTATGCCTGCCTAGATTGCTATATTCTGACAACAGTTTCAGAATTAGGGGGTTTGGGGAGGGAGTCAGTTGGGGATAGAACTCATGCCCCAAGTTCTTTTACTTTTTAACATATATATATATATATATATATATATATATATATATTTTGGGGGGGGGGGGGTCTGGTCGTGGGGCCTGAACTCTGGGCTTGGGCCCTGTCTCTCAGCTCTTCAGCTCAAGGCTAGCGCACTTGAGCCACAGCGCCACTTCCGGCTTTTTTCTTTTTGCTTATGTGGTGCTGAGGAATCGAACCCAGGGCCTCATACATGCAAGGCAAGCACTCTACCACTGAGCCACTTTCCCAGCCCACTTTTAGGATATTTTTCAGGTAAGGACTCACATTTTTGCCTGAGCTGTCTCTGGACCCTGATTCTTTTATCTCCGACTCTTAAGTAACAGGAGCTTTAGGCATTCACCACTACATCTGGGGCCAAATCAGCATTTTCAAGGACAGTCCTTCTGAACCTCCAACAGGAGTCAGAATCACCAGAAACCTTGCTGACAGTTGCTGGGACCCAGTCTCAGACTTTGTCTGGCATGAGGTAGGGGTCTGAGATTCTGGATTTCTAACAAGTGCCTTGCTGCTGGATCACAGATCACACTCCATAAAACCCTTTCCTCTAGAACATCAGCAACTGTCACCAGGCAGTGTGAGGAAGAGGCTCCAGGGTTAGAAAGAGTGGGAAAACAGTGGACTAAATAAACCAAGAGCTTTGGGTGGCACTTAGGGTTCATGAGCCAAATCTAGTTTTGCTATCTGTTTTCACTTTGGACTTGAGCTAAAGACGTTGTCTTTGCATATTTTTTTTAATGGTAAAAAGACTTGGAGCTGAAGAAACTTTTTGATGTGTGAAAAATTACATGAAATTTAAATTTCAAATTTCAGAGGTTATAAATAAAGTTTTATTGGCACACACACTTGTCCATTTGCTTATCTACTACTGACATTGGTATCTTTCATGCTACAAAGGCCCACAACACTGAAAATATTTACTATTTGGCTCCAAAAGCATTTGTGAATCCTAGCTTAAAAAAGAAACAAAATTTAAAGAGAGGAGGAAACAGAAATTCTTAAGCATTCCTTATCTGTCTGTAATATCCCTAAGGCCCTGTATATATATACATACACATACACATATTTTCTGTTTGTATTTGTCTATAAAAACCCTCTTCACGGAGCTTCCTACAGTGTTTTCTGGGACA